ACATGCAAATATTCAAGTATAAAAATATTGAGAAAGGGGAGGGTATAGCTCAAGTGGTAGAGCGCATGCTCAGCATGCATGAGGTCCCAGGTTCAATCCTCAGTACCTCCTCTAAAAGTAAATCAATAAAGCTAATTATCCCCACCCGCAACTGAAAAAAAAAATTTGAGAAGCATAGTATGGGATCTAGCTGATGAAATCATGAGCTGAAGAAGTGACTGGAGCACAAATAGAAATGACAGAATAAAAGAGAGCTATATCCAGCCACTGTTTTGGTAAACATCTGTTATAATTGTATCTTCCCAACATCTCTTAAAACTGCTTTTGTACGTTTGGGGAAACCCCACCTCAGGAATCCTGCCTCCTGCGTGAGCCTGCGACGTTCAAGTCTGAACTCAAATCCCCAGCATCCTTTGCAGCAAGCATGCTGTCGTGTGCTGTAGGCTCCATGACTTTGGAAATAAGCAAAAAAGGGAACAGTCTTGGTATGGAGTTTCTGTTTGTGGCAGCACAGATAGTAACCAAGGCATTTTGGCTTTCAAATGGCAGTGCGTTCTAGTGCTGCAAACTTGAGTGAGTTCCTGGTGCAGAAGTAGCCCTGTGGCTGGCAGCTGTAATGGTTGGGTTGAGTCAAATTCTTGACATTTAGTGCTTGGCTGGGGCAGCAGAAGGGGTTTTTCCTCAGGCCAGTTCTGGGATATGGTTTTGACCATTTCTCTAGGAAATAATTCTTTGAGCTAACACCTTTGTCTTTACCTGCAATCTTTTTTTTTTAAATAGTGGAAACCACCAAACTAGACTCTGCTGTTTGCAACTGTCGAATACAATATTACAAATATCCCTCACTTGCTGCTTCTTCTAGGAAGCAAGGAATCAACAATTTTGAAGCTATCAATAGATAAGAGTAAATACAGCCTGGAAGAAAAGTAAATACAGAAACTCAAGTAGAATAAAAGCATTCTTGGGGAGCTCATATTTAATTTGACTCCTCAGCTCTCACCTCACATCCACTTTGAATTCATAGTGGGCCCTTCATAGAAGTCCCCCAATAACTCTGTAACACATGATTGGAAGTGGATATGTTCTCTGAGGATTTCATGGAAAGATAAAGGAGACATCTCGTGGCAGCATCTTAAAAGGGTTCACAGTATTCCCACGAGGCATCTCTATTCCCTTCTTCAAGTCCTCATCTGGGTGACAGAAAGGATAGAAGGGGCAGATTCTGATATCAAGAACATAGGAATTTTTAAATCATATTTTAAAAGCAGCCAAAATACCTTGAAAATATACTTTCCATGGAATGGGTACCACATACACATTCCTTTCTTTGGAAGATGTGGGCAGATCTCTCAAAACTCTGTATCAATTGTCAGGGGTGTTAACTTAAGAATATTTTCTCTTATTTTCAGTTTTTAAATGGGAGTATACACAACAATAACTGGGGGGGAATGGTGAAGGGGAAAGCAGAACTTGTCCTTTGTTGTCTCCTTTTTCAGTACATTGCCTGCGTGTGTGATGTAGGGATAGAGAAGTTACACAGATGCATTTAGGTGGCCATGGGCCAGCGTGCTTTCTGTGAATTCTGGCGTTTCTCCCAATTATTTAAAAGTTCCACACTAATAGGCTTGCCCATCACAGACTTCAGGAAGAGTGGATCCTGGTCCTTATAAGAGCCAGAGAGTGTATCTTTCCCCCTAGCTGACTGCCTCTATTTGTTTTCATTAGTGGAAATGAAAACAAATGGAATTCCTAGGTGCCCCAGGCAAAGGGATGCTGCACCCCGCATTGCTGCTGCCTGCAGACTTCTGCGCTCATTCGGAAACCTCGCCAGGAGAAGGATGCTTCTGCTACAGCTCGCCCCTTCAGAAGCACAGAGCACATTATTTTGAATTATTTCAGATGAGGAGACTCGCGGCCAACTAAAATGCAGCACTAATATTAGCTTATTTTCAACCGAACGATAGCTTTGTAGAATAAAAGTCTCTTCAGATCTCACCACTTCCAGGCTGCTTGCTTCTGAGGCATTTAGCCGGAATTTAGCTGCTGTCTTCAGACCACCGACTCTATCTTGCTGTCTTGGGAATTTTGCATGAACGAAGGTTCTCATACATAGCTGCCGCTAATGGTTGGAATTTGTGTTTACAAAAGTTCCTTTCCTGTTTTGCAAACTCAGGCTGGGCTCTGCCGCCTTGAAAAGCCGCTTCCCCTCAGCAGATGTTCTGCCGCGCTCGCTGGCAGCATTCTTGTCTGCACTCATCTGTCTCACTCTGCTATCCACTCCCGCCACCCAAGAGAGCCTGGAATTGCGATTTCTCCCCTCCTTCCCCCATATGGCCCTCTCTGCTCGGGACCTGCCTGCTGCTTCACTCCACAAACTGGGCTCTTCGTCGCCCTCTGTATCGCAGTTCTTTCTGCCTCTGTGGCTCTTCCCAGTTGGACACTAAAAGCAGTGATGACTAAAGCCTTCAGTTTTTCCTGCCTGACACCATCTCCCCATGCTTAAGCCTTTTTTGTCCCAGTGGGAGACATGACCACTATAAAAATTCAGTTGGCCATCATGACAGTCTTAGATTCATATTTGACCCTTTCCTCTCTTTTGTTTCCTTAATATTTAAAGTAATCACTACAGACTGCAGAAACAAGTTTAATCTTTGTCACCTTATCCATGATTATCGTCACATGGCTGGTCCTGTCTCTAATCCAAGCTCTTGTATTCTCACTGATCATCACATTTGGGACCTTAATTTAACAAATGTTTATTGGGAGCTGAGGAAACATTTACTGAGGAGTTGCTTCCTGATGTGGACTCCTTTTTCCATGTTCTTAGGCCTCTGGAGAAGAATGAAGACCACATATTTTTGTTTTACAGAGAAGAGGAAATCCAAGTGATTGTGTGACCAGACCCCTCGTGTCAAAGTGAGGGTCAAAGTTTGGAACGAGAAGAGGAGGAGCATGTGACTTAAAGAGGGAGATGATCTGAGCCAGGTCAGAGCTGTGGGACAGGTCACCCATACCTGGGCATTGGAGGAGTAAGCTTACCCTGGTCAGGCTGTGAAATTTGACAATATGTCAGTGACAATCAAGTATCTTCTTTGGTTAATAAACTGTGTCATATTCTGTGCCAAACAGTGTGTGTGAGGTTGTGGGAGATACAAAGATGGAAAGATGAGGCTTCTTCCTCTACTCATGTATTGATATACTGCATGTTTCTTCTTTGACCAGGGTCTCTTCCCCCTCCAGCAGCCGCCAGCACAGATAAGCGTACAGCAGCTGCAAAAAGGGGTAGAGAGTTAAGAGGGTGAATGTGGCTCCCCAAAGTATCCACTGAAGATGTTAACACCTGGTCTGATGTCCTGTAGGATGCTAAACACCGCAGTGTCTCTCCATCGCCCCCTTCCTCCATGTATCTGAGTGGTTCTCAAACCTGGGTGCACGTTAGAATTACCAAGAAACTGAAAAAAGAAATTTAACATTAAAAAATGGTCAAATTGGTAAATTTTATACTGTGTATATTTTACCGTAATTTTTTTTAAAATGTCGATTTTCCAACCTCCAGGATGTAGAGTGTAAGTCTTCACTCCCTAAGTGTGAGCTGTGCATAGCAAGTTTCTTCCAAAGAGGACAGTACAGAAAAGGGGAAGAAAGTGTAACTTTACAATGGAGAAACCTGACAAACCTCAGCCAGGTGACCAAGGTCAACACCAACAGTGAGAAGTCATGTTGGTAGCATTCACCGTTGATACGATGTGATGAAAATGACACTTTACCTCTGTGGTCTTTCTCGCCAACATGTATAACCCCGGCGTAATCATGAGAAAAACACCAAAACAATCCCAATTGAGGGACAGGCTACAAAGTATCTAGCCGGTAATCCTCAAAGTTGTCCAGGTCATCAAAAATTAGGAAAATGTGGGAAACCGTCACAACTCAGAGGACCCTCAGGAGACTTGACAAGGAAATACAATGCGGTATCTTGGATGGGACCCTGATACAGAAGAAGGACATTAGGGAAAAACTGAAGAAATCTGAATAAAGTATGAATGTTAGTTAATAATAATGCTTCAGTATTGGTTCATTAATTTTCACAAGTGTTCGGTAAGGTGTTAATACTGTGTGTGTGTGTTGGGGGGGGGTATCCGGGAACTCTCTGTACTATTTTTTGCAATAATTCTGTAAAGCTAAAACTCTTCTAAAAGAGAAATTTGTATTAAATAGATAAATATGCTTGGATCTCACCCCAGATAAATCCATATCTTTGGGTGTGGGGTCTGAGCAACTGTAGTTTTGTAAGCTCCTCGGGGGATTCTGATGCAGAGTGAAATCTAAGAATCCTTGGTTCACCCGGCCCTGCCCTCTGCAGGTCAAGATTCTGATGTTAGCTTGCTGTGTCATTTCACCTGCCTTTGCGTTCTCTCAGCTCTCACAGCCAGATTTATCCATGAGCCACATCTCTTGGCCCAGATCCAGCCTGTTTCCTGGGTCAGATTGGAGCAGGCAGAGATCCAGCGTATAATGGGAGTGAGTTTAAGGTGGGGTGGGATATTTTTTTCCTATACTCCACCCAGACTTGGGATGATGTTCAGTAATCCCTGGCTCCTCCCAGCCAGCCATGACCCGGTGTGCAGGAAGGTGCTTCCGTGTCAATTCCTTTTCTGTGATCTATTCAGGGAACTGCTCATATCAAGACTTCCTCCTGAGTAGGGGCCTCAGCCCTCTTGTATAAAGACCTCATCTTTCCTAGTTTCCTTCATTGAAGACTTTAGCCCCCCTCCTCAGTCACTGATTAGACAGTGATGAAGGTAGACAGAGCCTTTAAAATGATTCTGTCTGATTGCTGTACCATGACCAGACTTGTGAATTCTCAGTTTATTTCTTGGCTCTGAAAACTCGTCCCTCCCTACCACCTATGCTGGGTCCCATTCTGGTTAAAATCCCCAAAGACATCACCCTCTACGGAAAGTTCCCTTTTCCATACTATGAGGGAATTGTGCAGGGGACTTAGCTAAGGACCATTGCCAAGGGCTACTTCCATTTTAATAGAGAACTCATTACTGAACAGCCAACATAGCCATTCTATCTTTCTATTAACAATAATCGCGCCTCAGATAAACCTCATTGGCTACGATACTGCCACTGCGCAAAGCTCATTCTGTCTTTCTAGAACGAAAGAAGTTTCTACCCTCTCAACGTTACCCGTTCCTCCCTTCCTAATCCCAGTACTGACTAAAGAAAATTTGCGGTGACTTTGTAGGCAACAGAAAGTAAAAAATGGCTCGTACCATCATCACAGGCAGAAATGCATCCCTCATTTCACACCATCAGGACAAAGAGGAAGGTCTGCATGTTGAGTTCCTGCCCCTGGAACTGTGAATCGCTGTCTATGAGACAATCATCTGCTCAGAGGCTCAGAAAAGCGTTCCACGTCAGCGCCTGCTCAGGGCTGGAAGATGACAGTAATGCAGAGCCACTTGGTTTTCGTAAAATACCGATAGCAAGACCCGAAATGACGAGGGATCCCTGAAATTACTTGTGTCACCAAGTCGAAGCAGATCATTCTTGATCAAATTTCTACATGATAATGTTCCACATTACTGAGTCCTTACTGTCAGCCAGCCGGGACGTGAGTGTTAGAGATGTGTTACTTAGTTTATCCTCGTAACCACCCTTTCATAGAAGGTCTTAACACCGTCCCTATTTTCTAGGCGAGGAAAATGAGATGTGGGAACTTCAACCACATGACTGAGGTCAGACAACCTAGAAGCTATAGAGCTCTGTGATTTGAGTACTGGAATGAGAGACTGATGCCAGCATCTGCTCACAGAACCTTCTGCCCTTCTGCCTCACCACACAGGATCAGAACATGGGGCTTTTCCAGCTCTCATCATCCAATCATTCTGAAAGCCCCACATTGGAGATAATGTTCCCCCAAATGGAATCTTCAAGTGTCTGAACAGCACCAAACACAAAACTCTTAGATCCCTCCTCAGAGTCCCTGATCATGCACAGCGCTACTGACATTTATGTTAATTACACATAGAATATCTGTGTGTACAAGTAACAGGAATAAGAAAGCAAGTAAAGTATTTATCCTATTAAACAAAATGACTTGGTGCACACATGTTTGAAAGCACTGGAATCAAGCAGTGCTGTTCCCTAAAACTGAAAATAGGTCAATAGACCTCTGTTCTAGACTGTGTGGTTAGCCGTTAATCCATATTTGCCTACCTGGAGGGAATAACACATATATAATTCTGTGGTTTAAACTTTTCATTATTTCAAGCTGGTTTTACCTCTATCAATCCTATTTAATTAAACTTTTAATTAAATAACTTTCAATTAAACTATTAATTAAACAATGTGCTTTTTCTTTTTTCTTAAAGCAATGATTTCTGGTAGGTACAGCTGTTGAGGGTAGGGAGCGTTTTAAATTTCACTCGGTATTTTAAATTGTGTTTCATTCTTTCTTCAGTTAAATGTAACCACCAGTATTCTAGGGAAGAAAACGTCACAGGCCTGTCTTTTTTATGGTATCAGGGTCCCACCAGGAAAGAGATGGCATATTTAAGTTACAAGATTTCAGGAGAGTTTAATGAAAGAACTATTTACAAAATGTAGAAAACGTAGGCGGGGTATAGGGAAGCCCCCATAAATGGCACAATACCTAGGGCCGGTAACAAGGGCCTGGGTCCATTACCCATCACCTACCCTAGACCAAAAAGGTCTTAGAGAGGGAGCTGTCCCCAATACCTAGAGACCTAGTGGGTTGCAGGGGAGGGCACACCCCATATGCAAATTACCTGATACTGGCGAAGTGAGGGTCCGGTGGCCTGTGGTTCAGGTTGCTTTCAAGTCTCTCATCTTCTCTGGGGCTATATCCAAGCAGAACATTTCCTATCCCTTCACCATGTGGTTTGTCTTTCATTTTTTTCTCCCAACTCCCACTTTGCTCTTAACTAATTCCTGTAAATAGTCGATGCTCTCCCTGCCTTCTTCCTGTCTTTCTGGGTCAAAACTCACTGAAAAAGTATCCACCGAATACACAGCTGGGTCAACCACAAATGAAGCCTCCTGCTGGCCTCCACCCCTCCTTTAACACAGCACACCACTTCCTTGTTGCTCAGAGTCTCCCAGCCCACTCCACTTACCACTGTACTCACCAGAAATCTCTCATCGTCTTCCTGCCCACCAAATTATTTTTTCACTCCTTTTGACTCCAGTTTATATTCTTTTCAAAGTCTTTCTTAATTTGTATCCTCTCCCATCTTTATCCACTCAATCCTTGTATATTCCCTCTGAAGTAATTTATTTTATGCCAAATTGTTGTGCTAATGGAATATTATTTTATTTCTATAATTATCCTTATGGCTATGATTATCATCACTGTGAAACCAGTGTGTGTGTTTTATCCCCAAAACTGGAAAATGAGTTGCTGGTGTGTTTCATACTGAAAGATTACTGAAGGAACTATCTTGCCTGCTTCCTCAACCCTGCAACTCAACTTTATTTGTAGGATTTTCTTCAATACACATTCTGTATTGATGACAGAATTAGCTGTTAAGTGCTCTGTAACATGTGAACAAGTAACCCAAATGAGGCAGTGCTGATTTATAAAGGAATGATATAGACAAAAGCACTGGGAAAAACAACAAATATTTAACTTTGTAAATTAAGTGCATCCTTATGAATGTAAGCAATAGGATGATAAGGTGAGTGAGGGGGACAATTATGACTTTGTTGGTCCAGGACAAGGAGAGAAATCACAGCCTCTCCTCCATGCATGGACGAATGGCTTCACGGAGGAAATAAGGTCAATTTCTGTTTGCTGAAGACATCGAGCCAATGCACTCATTCTCTGGACAGACTAGTTCAGTTCAGCCAGTAATTATATGGCTAGATCTACTCGGTGAGAAATGGAAATGGGAACTTACTTCTTGTTTAGTCCTCTTTGTCTGCCTTCTAAAGCCTTCTTGGTGTTGGTTCTTCATGTGACCTGTTTAGAAATGAGGTAGCTTCATTGAGATTCATTCATTTTCTCTAGAGGAAGTACATGATTATATTTCACTCTATAAATAAGAGAAAGTCATAGTAAAAATGGATCGAGTACAGAGTTTTATATAATGGAAAGTTCCTCTCCGTGACAAATGCCATTTTTCAGGCTATGGAGTGCTTTGTTTGCAAATGAGCACCGTTTTTTGACCAGTTTGGTACAAATGTCATAAGAGAAGAAAACAGTCTACAAAAGGAATATAGAAATGATCAACTATGTACTTTTTTGTTGGTAAGAGGTAGAGTATCTCTAAATTAAAAAGATATCATCATTGAAACGAAAATTACTTACTAAAGAGATTCAAAACAATAATTTTTTTCATGTAGATGTTCACACACTACATGCCTGGGCATCTGATATTTAAAATCAACATTATTGTCATCATTATTCCTCATCATTAATTGTGTACATATCATGAATTTGACTCTTCTGCTCACTAGCTATGCCTCTATGCCTCAGAGCCCTTATCCGTAAAATGAGGATTAAAATAACACACACTTCATGAGGTTGTAGTAAGAATAAATGAGCTAATGCATATAAAGCGCTTATACCAGTGCCTGATATTTATTGTTCTCAGCGAGGCTGTTATTTGAATAACTGATACTATTATTGTTATCACTTTGCTCTTTTCGTGTTGGTTCATTTGTGAAGATGAACTATTATCATTACCTTAGTTTTACAGATGAGAGAATGAAGCTCTGAGAAGTTTAGTCACTCTCTCAAGATGATACAGCTGGTCAGATAAAAGTCTACCTGAAGGGCTGGGTTGGCGCTTGTAATCTGAATTGCATTAATATCCAGCTAAGGGAAAACTTATTGTCTTAACTATGTTGAAAAGATTGTGTTTGGAACATTTACTCATTGGCATTTTCATCACAAAAAGATCTCTGCCTCCAGGCTTCGTTGGCCCCATTTATTTTTTCATCCTTCCATCCTAGGTCCTCCCTCAGCAGTCAGAGATGGTAGAAAGAGACAGGAGAGGGAGGGCGGCAAGCGAGCAGCAGAATCAGGATGGAGAAGCGCGCTGGTGCTTTCTCCATTTATACTCAGAACTCAAAATGCTCAGCTCGGCTTCAGCAGCAATTCATCTTATAAATCAATTTGGCAAGGCATCAGCTTTAAAATCCATTACACTGAATCAGGAGTGGAGTTTACAGCTAATGTGCCAATAGGACACCTGTATGTGGCAGTGACCTTTTAAGTTGGCGTGAACCCGTGTTCATGCTCGGCTCTGCCTCTCTGCATGACACTGAATCAGTTATGGTCCCGCCTATTACTTCATGCAGAAAGAATGGCTGAAGTGTTGACTCTCGGTCTCTTTAGAAAACTAGAGACTAGTAGAATGATGACATTGTTTTTTATTCTAGATGACCTCTTGAAATTCTGCTTACCATAACAGCTGTCATGGGATTATTTTTCATAATGGGAAGAGGTTTAATATCTTTTGTTCTTTTTACTCTTCACTCATTTATCAGTTACTTAATATCTGGCTTCCCACACCAAAACTTGACCGAAATTGTTTTCTAGAAAGCCACCCATGATTTCCTAATTATCTAATGCAGAAACTTCTTTTTCTTCTTATCTTTTATAATGCTTCTTCAGCATTTGACCTTGGGGACCAATCTCTTCCTTCTTGAAAATCTCTATTCCCTTTGCTTCCACAGCATCCCAATAGCTTGGAGTTTTGCTCATCTATCTGGAGACTAGTTAAAATCAAGCTCTTCAGTCTCTTGTAGATAATTCATGAGCTTGCTTTACTGACTTCTGTGGTAGACAGAATATTGGCGCCTCCAAAGATGTCCACATCCTAATCCTCAGACCTGCAAATATGTTATCTTATATGACAAGAGAGGGGGTATGCCAATGTGATTATGTTAAGGATCTTTAAATGGAGAGATTACTCCTGAATTATCCAGGTAGTGTCCAGTGTGATCACAAACATACTTATAAAATAAGGAAACAGGAGAGTCAGAGCAGAAGATGTGACTATGGAAGCAGAAATCAGAAGAGAGTGAGAGCTAGAATGAGAGAGACAGAGACTGAGGCAGAGAGATCTGAAGGTGGTACACTTGGCTTTGAAGATGGTGGTAGGAGCTAT